TTTAGTAGCTCGATCATCAGGCGAGTGGTACTGCGATTGACACCTCAGATATATCACACTGCTAGGGCTTTCTGGTTGCCGAAGATCGTCTGCGGGATATCCGCATAATATTCATACACCGCCAATTAGCGGTCAGTAGTATACGAATACTGCACGATCTACCATGCTGACAGCATAGGTACCAACTGCGACATTCCACGGCCATAAAACAGACAAACACATGTCTGGTTTTTAAGATAACACCGGTGCTGACGGTGTAATGAATTATTCAGTTCATCAAATGCCTATGTTGCCGTGCTACTATCAGTCGGCTGTGTGCACCAGGTTCAACCCGCAGGCTGGGGAAACAAATCTTAATCGGACCAGGCTGAGTCAGCCTTTCGAGAAAGAAGGTGGCGACACTGGAGAACTCGCTAATGAGCTGATCCCCTCGCTGTTGTGTCATGCGGCGGTATAATATCGGCCAAAAATGTGTCTGGACTTTCAGCTAGTACCTGCGCGGTCAGTGTGGCAAATATCGCAAATGACAGTCTTTGTACCTGGACTGCCTATGGGTAATCGGGGACTTCTACAATCGGAGGCCTATGCATGAACCCATTAGCCTCCATATGTGACTTTCAAAGACGAGGAATCCTACCAAAACTATTATAAGAAGTCAAAAGGCAATTTGGCGAGCATGCGCAGACTCTCGGTAAATTCTCTTCAGGCCTGTTAATTTATATCGCTATTGAAGTGATTAATAAAAAATGCGGAGAAATGGAAGTTATATTGTAGCTGGGATTTGGGAGGGGGTGCCGCGTGGGTTACGTGACAAACGAAATTACCGCCAGTGTCAGGTGGGAGGGGAATGGCGGGTGCTGGGACGGGTTATTATGCACGGGGGGCTAGCTTGATGGGTTTGGGTCATGGTAACTGTGGGGCTTGAACGAAGTTATTTTGTGCGTGCGTGACTGGTTTTCGTTGCCAACAGACGCTGTCCAATTGGTTTTGGATAGCTTTACCGAGACTTCCAAACCACTCGGATGGCCTGTCCGGCATCTACATGGTGATTTTTCTACCACGTGCGCGAGGGTAGAACTGTTAACTTTTTTCTATAGCCTCTACCTAAACGTGCTGGAAGGTGTTGTCTTATTCTTTTGGACAAACATCGGCTCGTGTGGCCAGTATATTCTGCCCCACAGGGGCAGAAGAAGTAAATACACAAGGTGGCGGTCTGGGCTCGCAGTTTGTCCTTTACCCCTCCGTATAGGATGGAATTAGTGGAGAAGAGTACAAGGATGTCGGTTGCTGGAAAGACGCCTGATGCAGCTTGAGTTAGGCGTCTTCTTACGAGTTGACTCGCCATCTTATAGGTCAGCTCTGAAGAAAATGCATAGCCTTCGAGTATGTATGTGCTTGAGTCTGGAGTGGAAGTACTCGTCTGAACGAAGCTACTCATATGTCATTAAGCGTCTGTTTTAATTGTTGTTTATTATTGCAAACATAGTTACAAACATCACATTGCTAAAGTATTCAGCGATGCGTCAGACCTATAAACTAATTCGTTGTTCCTATGAGGTAGAACGTTCTCATTAAAAAGGATGCTGGGAGGTAGGGGCCCACAGAGTTAAAAACGTGTGCTTTGGAAAGGAGGAGGATTACCGACTCAAAGCTACTGCAACTACGCCTGCCAGTTGAGCAAGTACGTCAGCATCCCCTTCCTCAACAACCACTGTCTCCCAAACCACTCTAGTTTATATCTGTGTGACTGCTCCCCAGGAAGAGGGAGAGTGAGAAATAAGCTTTATTTTGGAAGTATCATCCCAGGTATCCAGCAAAAACATCCCCCATTCACCGTGGACAGGATACAAACAAATAACACATGAGAATGTAAATGTATTTGAATAAATCCATATAAATATTATGGGCACAGATTGAGTCTCAGTTTCAGAGTTTCAGTCACTTTCCACGTACGAGATGTGCTAGTGTGAAACGCAGATATGCCGATGTACGACCACAGATTTGCCGGAAGCCACGGCGCATGGAGCGTAAAGAATTCGAAGCAGTTTATTCGGAATGAAGGTGATGTGCAATATGATCCAGAATTTTGAAAACAGATTGTTGGACCGATGGGAATTGTCGGGTTTCTATGATATCGACTAGAAAGTTATAGGAAACATGGACGGCAGAAACGAGCATTAGAAGGGATCACAAGACAACATTTGGACAGATCTATGCTATGATATGCCAGACGCCTGAATAGTTGGGAACAGTTAACATTGAGAACGCTTCAGCAGCCCTAGAAAATCGGCGAAACAGGTGTCTGGACTTTGACCTAGCAACTGTGCTGTCCGCATGTTAAATTATGCAAGTAATTAAAATCAGGAAATACGTCAGTATTATTTTCCATTTATCAATCTACCGTATATAGCAGGTTCCCTGCAAACTGGGGAAGAATGTCATTTTAACTACACTAGACCCGTCTCTCGAGAAGGGGGAATGAAAATTCGATATATCTATCGGGCTCGTAAGGTGGAACTTTTTCAACCGTGTTCAATCCAAACATAGGAGTGTTTTCCAAGTTGACTGGCAGATAAACATCGATTTTACGTTTCGGACTGGATCTACCCATGCTGAAAAGAGATAATTTTCTCTAAAACCCTTAAATGCATTAAACTATGACTTAATCCGTCTGGAAATAAAAAGGACAAGTAGATCAGCGGTGATCAGTTCAGCCTCCACGTATGCACTTTATAAGTGCTTTTCGACTGCTTATTGTTCGTCGCCGTGCAGCTGTTTGCAGGCTTTATGAGCCGGACTTCAAGATCGGTGAACTCATCCACCATGTAACGCGGCATTCCCATTTACGGACGTCGAGCACGCAGTTGGCATATTTTACTTAATTTTAACTGACCAGAGTGATCCAGCTCAAATCCATTTCCTTCCCGCTGAGCTATAGCCGTCTGAGGACGGTAGATGAGCCCGACGCCAGCACTCCAGTCTCCATGTGTTTTTGAAGAAGGCGACGGCGGCGAAACAAGTAGCATTTAATGACATCATAAGGTTTTCTAACTTCTTTTTCAACTGCCTGCGGTTGTTCCCTGTTTATACAAATGACTAGTCTAGGTTGATCAGGCGGCATAGGTGTGAACTTTGGTAGGGAAGTTGTATAGGTATGTAAGGGTTGTCCAGTTTTGGGGGCACCATGCATGACTGGTAGGTCGCACCGTGCAAAAGATGACTACTGCTCACGGTCCTCATCTGGCACCCAACTCTCGTCTATGACTCTTAGCAGCTAGACCCTGCCTAGCAGTCACACCGCAGTAACGGCCTCGAATGGCGGGCTAAGCCAGCTGAAAGTATCTGTCGTTGTGTGCGTTCTCATACCCGACAGCTCTGCTCCTGTCCCCGGCCCTTCACTTCATGCTCCCGCCTGCCCTTTCCACTTGTCCTAACCCTCCGTCCCACCTTCTGCCTCCCACCTTCCACTTCAAAAGTCTTGCGGAGAGGGTGACATGTAATCATGTAGGTAGCCTAGGCTACCTGGAGTCGCTCCCCGCTTAATAAAGTCATGACCCATAGTAGAGTTCGGTAACCTCGTTGAGGTCTAAGCAGCCCTCTTTAAGGATAGCCCTGCTTTCTTCCTAACGGGGACGGGGATAGAAAAGGTGCCCCAAACAAATACTGGGAACCAACAGAAGCAAAAAGGCGAGTGCCAAGGTACGGCCCAGAAAAAGACGTGATCGCTGAAATAGGAGGTATATTATCTTGACTTTTGAGATTTTCACTTGAACCCATCATCAGATAAAGTATGCGCGACACCAACTGGGCTACGTTATCGTCCTAAGGCGTGATCAACAAGGTATGCTGGTGAAGAAGACCATCTTTAACGCTGACGGTTGGACCAAACATTGCCTTGTCATCTACAGAATGAAACTCCAACTAAATCCTCGCTGGAAATCACAAAGTAAGCGACCACCACCCAAGTAAAGTACTGTTCTGCTCTATCTGAATAATCATCTCTTCGACTAGAAGATCTGAAAGCTCCAGATGAAAACACCACCGTTGAGACTAGGTGCTGCCAACTGAAGAACACTACCCAGCCCGGACGAACTCAGATGCGCACGTTGTCAATATCAGGACTCATGTTTATACGGACCGTAATGAAACAAAGAACTTCTCCGCATCAATCAAAGTAGCCTACGGACCCACAGCCAATAGAACCGCCCGTTTTTCAGCTCCGACAGGACAACACTACTGACGGAGAGATCGAAGATACTTAAGTGTTGACAGAGCACTTCAGATGTGCCCACATTCGCCCATCCACGATCTCCGACGCCGCCTATGACCGCCTGCCTCAAATGGAAGCAAACGACAAACTGGATCCCTCGTTTTCCCTCCCAGAAACAATCAGAGCCGCGCACCAAGTCTCAAGCGGGAAAAATATGGAATCCGAAGCGATCCCGGTGGAACATTACAAGCATAGTGGCTCCCGGCTAACGGGCAAATTAGCAGCGCACTTCCAGGAGATAGAGCGCTGAGGGAAAATTCCTCATTATTTCAAGGACGCGACAATTACCCATCTCTACAAGCGGAAAGGAAACCAGAAACTTTACGGCAGTCGCTGCAATATCTAGCTGCTCAGCATCGCCCGAAAGATCCACGCTCGCATCCTCCTCAAGATTCTTAACGGCCATGTGAAACAGGGACTTCTCGCGGATGGCCAATGGAGCTTCTGACGCCACCGGGAGACCACTGACATGATCACTACCCACCCCCGTGTGGACCCATCAACACATTACCCTCCTGGGCCTGATGAAATCCTTGGACACGGTGAGTTGCGATGGACTCTGGAAAATTATGCACAATTTCGATTGCCCTGAGTCATTCACGCAAGTATTGCGTCAGCCCCACGACGAGATGATGGCGCGCGTCGCGGAAAATGGGACCCTCTCGGAAGTGTCTGAAGTTATCAATAAAGTGAAGCAGGGCTGTGTACTCACTCCATCCCCTTCGACTGCATGTCCTCTACCAAACTGATGGACGCCTATGTTGATGAGCGCCCTGTGATCAGCATCGTCTACAGGAGAGTCATCCATCCTCTCAATAGCTGTCGCAAGCAGATTCCAACGCGTCTCTTCACGATCGCTGTCCACGATCTGTTCTCCACGGACGACTGCGTACTCAACACTGCGAAAATAGCACACATGCGAATGAGCAGGTGTCTCTTCGTCTCCGGCTGCGCCAGCTTTGGGCTGGCCGTCAACACGGACAAAACGGCGGTCGTACATCAACCGCCGCCAAACGCTCCATACAATTTTTCTCACGTCTACGTCAACGGCCTTCAACTGAAGACCGTGGACAGCTTCGTCCCTTTGGGCAGCGCACTCTCACGGTGCATCAAAATCGATGACGAAATGTCTGATTGGATATCAATAGCCAGCCAGACCTCCGGTCGGCTGCAGAATGAAGTGTGGAATGGCCATGGTCCCTACCCCAACACCAGTCTCAAGACGTACAAATCTGACATTTTGACAATGCTGATGAGTGGAGCGGAGACCTTGACAGTCCACTAGAAACGAAAACGCGAGTTCGGTCACTTCCACCTCAGCTGTCTACATAGAGCCCGAAGGTTGAGGTAGTAGAACAGGATGCCGGACATAAGGGTTTCGGAAAAGACCGGCACCCTCAGAATCCACGCCATGTTTTAACAACTACAACTGAGATGGTGCGGTCACCTCGTGAAGATGGGTGACGAACTATTATCCAAGCGACTTTTCTACTGATAGCTCGCTATGGGTGCACGCCGACAAGGAGGTCAAAAATTTCGCCACATGGATATCATAATGAATTATTTGAAGTTCTGCGAATATTGTCATGTTACACTAAAAGTCAATTCGGTAAACATGCGCTTTCGGCAACTCAGCATCAGGCCAATACAGTTACCTAGAAATTGAAAATATGAGAAGTTAATAGGGTTTTTAAGTGACTCAGGGGTTATTAAAACTCATCATTCCTACGCTACCCACTCGACGAGGCCGGAATGATATGATCACTGGGCAAGGGAAGTAGGGTGGCATGGGCTGAGTGATGCTTGTAAGTCGGATACGTGGGGTACACACCACTGTCAGCAGGGGATTGGTGCGACGTGTAATAACCATCTGGGACCAGGGTTGACCATGGAATACAGAGCGCCTTTGTCAACGTCTTCTGATAACGTAGCACCAGATTTGATAGCCGTATAGGCACTGCCTCGACTTGAGCTAGCACCGTTGATGTGGGCCTCTGGAGAAGCTTGCTGGTGTCCGGCAGACAACGTGGAAGTCTTCTATGGCATCGACTCGGTGATTCCTATCGACAAGATGTGCGAGAATAGAACTCAAAATCGCTTTGTTTTCGACTCCGCCTAGCCAGACCGGTATGTGTTCACGTACCCTCTTTTCCAGGCACCTCGCTGTACGGCCAATGTATCGCGCTCCACAGAAGCAAGCGAATGAATAAATGCACATCGATTTGGCCTACAATGGTAGTCTGTCTTTATTTCCTAAACGTTGTAGGTAAGAGCTTGTGAAACATACGCGTAAACTCGGCACGGGGAAACCGTTAATGCTCGCTGTCTTCAGACGTCATCTTTCTAGGTGGCTTGCTACGTCCTCCTAAACAGCAGTCTTATAAACAAGTCTTTCTGCTCTGCAGTCGTCATGGTAGGCTTTGCAGTGCGCTCTCCAATATTTCGGAGGTCAAATCTATCTGGGTATCCGTTCTCGCGAAGTGTGTTCCGCAGTTGTTGTTCTGCTTCAACAGTCTCCGGAGAGCGGATACGTCACACTCCAGCTGCGCATGCAAATTACCTCGAAAACCTCGGCAGTCCGGTCGGCTTAGTGAAAAGCAGCGAAGGCTGAAGTTTAAATTTAGGAGGCCAACCAGATGGCCGCTTAACAAGCCAAAAGAGCTCCTCGCAATTGTCAAGCGACACAAATCGCCAACACAAGCACCCGACCTCTTCAAACAGGCCCAGGCTGTTAATGAGCTTTCCGCGCGCTGATCAGTCTAACTGGGCATCTCAGGATACATTTCAGAAACAACCTCAACAATTAACCCTGTCCTCATCATCAGGTGCGAATTATTGCACTGTAACATTGTATCAAGGACATTTAAACAACGATCGGTTGGGCATGCCTGAATTTGGTGACAGTCGAAGAGAACTCAACCAAAGGTCCACTGAGGACTAACTGTCGTACCCGCTGAGGAAAGAACCAGACCGCTGAATGGCACACACCAGAGCAGGAAAAATAATAGGACTGTGACACTCTTCGCTGTTGCAAAAGCGTTAGGAAAAAAGGTGGGACTACAAAAACTGAGAATGAAGTCTATTAACTCCTTTAACTGATTCGCGTGTACATGAAGGTATGGGCAGGACAACGAGTACTTTTTTCGGGTACGCGGAGACGTTTCGCGTCATCGCCACCGTCAATCCAATGAGCCACTAATGCCGCTTGTTCGTTGTCAAAAACCAAGGCACTATTGGCGAACACAAGCGGTGTTTTCTGAATGTCACACAGGGCCTTCGCCCGTCCCCTTTAGGTTCCCGCTGCGCAATCGAAGATGGGGGGAGGCAGGGGTTCCACCCAACAGCGTGTTTGACCATTGGTTAAAGCACCCCAGTCGCCGGCGCAGGCAGTGTGGTGGGTTATTTCCAACCCTACTCGAGTCTCTCCACCTCCACCAACTGGCTTCCTACAACATTTGATATCAACTTGGAAGAAAGGCAATTAGGGCGGTTCTCATCCTTCTCCTCCTCCTCCTCCTCCTCCTCCTCCTCCTCCTCCTCCTCCTCCTCATCCTCATCCTCCTACTTCTCCTTGATTTTGATGTACCCGGATGGCATCAACGACGATCACCTCACTCACAGCTGATGATTATGCTTCCGATGCTTCGCCATCGTCGACCACCGCCACCATTGTTCCTACTACAACCCCCGCGAAGACTGCTATGGCAGGGTAAGATGTGGTTTGGCAGCCCCACCTGATTGACACAATACTGTTGGGGTTGGGATTAAGGGCTAAAGTTAGGGGTTAGGGTTAAGGGTTAGGGTTAGGGGTTATGGTTAGGGTTGTGTGATATTGGTTAGGGATTAAGGTTAGGGGTTAGCTCAATTATTTCTCAACCATTCAAAGTACAACCGTGCATCCCCAGTAGCTATTCTTTTGCGCACAACTACTTGACCTCGTCGCCTGTGCGTTCTCGGACCCCACCTGTAAAAACCTCTATTACCACCGGTCCCGTATTACAGACGGCTGGGGTTTGTTTACCTCAGGTGTGGCTACATAACCGCATCCGACCAACTTTCCCACGCCCACCGCCGGTGAGAGCGCTCCCGACACCTCATTAATCACTGCCCTCATTACCACCTCTACCACAACCAGTGATGTAGACTCGGCCCCAATCCATCTTCACTGCGACCGTACCCTCGCCGCATGCAACGGCCTGACCGGTAAATTGCGAATCCACCGCACTGTTGCTGGCCCAGCTGTACTAGGAGTTCACATACTCCCTTACCTCATCAACCTTCACTGTCCGCACTGTCCACGCCCGTTCACTCGATCACATGCGTCTCCATGAAAATCTGCATTTAATCGCCACAGACTAGACCATATCGCCACGCATTTCCCCATCAGCACATGAACAGCTCCAACATCCCATGAAACAGGCACCTCTCGCGTAAGTAAGAAGTGTGTTCTCTAAGTCGTTCTTCATGTGGCTCCTCCGTTGCATGGGAGATCTGAGCAGTCCACCCCCTGTAGAGTCCCGGCGCACGCGTTTCGGGGCCGGGTCGTGTGAGTGGCACGCGCAGACGGGCTATTCCTAACACTGTCAGTCGCCCCTCCCAATCTCAACACCAGTTAGTTGACCGGCATGAGATGTCGACTGGTGTAAGGGAAAGAGTAGCAAACGTGACGTCGACTCTCAGAGCATAATTCCTTACAGTAAACAATTGGACGCGCTTTTGACTATCGCGATGCGTTAAAAGCCGTGACTTGAAAGTTTGCTTGCTGACGATTCAACATAGAGCATTCAGTCAGCCCAGTGTGTGTTTGTGCATTGAGCGACCAACTGACGGCCTGGCAGTCAGACTGCGATGGCGCCTCAGTAACGACACTCTCCTAAGCATGCGACACCCTGGACTCCCATCCCCGTGTACGTGTGACCTCGGCGTTTGCGTCTAGACGGCCTCGTCGTCGTGTGTTTGGCACGCTTAGATTGACTTCCTAGCCTGTAAGCCACTGTGTCCACTCCTCACATCAGAAAAGTGACCGGTTCGGACAGTGGACTTTTCCGGAGAGTGAGGTCGACGATCTCGACGCACATCCATCACTATAAAAAATTGGACACACTCAAATCTATCACTGTGGTCTAAAAGCCGTGGTTTGGGAGCCTGCTAGCTGACAGAGTAACTCGAACCTCGCAGTCGACACAGTGTGCGTGTTCGCGTGGAATGGCCGACTGGTGGACTGCGTGCCAAGCTGCAATGGCTCCTTCTTAATGCGGCCTTTATAACACCCCCACTCAGTGGGGTTCGAGCCCGTGTGGTGGTACGCCTAGGTGCAGGCTTTCGCCGTGCCAGCCACTCGCGTTCACCCCCGCTTCAGGTCTTCGTGGTTTTGTCATGATACCGGGCGCAGGTGCGGAGGAAGGAGGGAGTGTGCTAGGTGCTGTACAAGTCCGCCGTCATAATAAACTAATTTTATGCGCAAGCCACCGCTCCTGCCCCCTCTACTGCTCCGGAGCACACGGTGAACATGGTAGGAAACGACGGTCGAACTCTCATAGGTTAGCGAGTTTGGGCTACAGCGAAACCGCGTTTAGCGGGATTACGGCTATATGGGAGAAAACATTAATCAGTCATGTAGGGGAACGAGAGAGAGAATGGGAGTTATTTCTGCCACCGGCAGTACTGAGTGAATCATGTGATCCCGATGCGTGCATAGTTCTTGTTTTCCCCTCCATATTGCCACGGCCACTGAATAGCGTAAGAAACGCTATGTTGTCTCCGCTAAACGCAGCCTCCGGTAACTGAACTTCTGGGTGCCTTATTTCCCCCTCAACAGCCGCTTCGGTATATCCTCAGTTGTTACCTATCAAAGTAAATTCCTTTTGCTTCGCCACTTTTTCCCCGTTCAAATTCGTTTCTGAAAAACAATGCTTCAACACCCTATGCTATCACGTTATTATTTAAGGGAATCAATGCACTGGCTAAACGCATAAATCAACACTATACGGCGTCACTGCCTTCAGCTGCTAACAAGCATTTCCTTCATATGGTTAAAAATAACTCGGCTTCTCAGACCTAACAGCCCTTCCTTTTGGACTGTCAAACCCCCTTTTTCCCAAGTTTGCTTCATGTGATTTTATCCCCTGAACTTCCGTTGTTTCCTGGATCAAACAGATAGTTGTCATCGGTTTTAAACACTTGACTGCAGTGGCCCTTTTCTCGAACATCTGTTCTGGTAGCACTCCGACGCCAACACTGTCCACTTTGGACGTTTGCCCTCGTCCGGCTGCCAGCTTACTCCAACCCATTTTTCATTCGTTCTGGGCAGAACTCAACTCTCTCTCTCTCTCTCTCTACTGGTGTCCAGCTCCTCCTTTTTTATTCGGGATTGGGCCTGTAGCAGCCGCTCCTGAGGTGATAATAGTTTGCGGGGGAAGCCGGAGGTCTGGACAGGAGGGGCCCCAGTACTAGCCGGCGGGGGTGCTTGTGTGTCAACGGCCTGGCAACGATTGTCGCGGCCATCGACCGACAAAACGGAGCCGGAGTAAAGGGGGACGGGGGCGGCTGCTACAGGCCTACTGACTTTTACTGTCGCTCCAGTTTCCCTCGAGCTTGCAGTGAGTCCAGCGCCCAGTTGTAAAGCACCAGCCGGAAAGACAGAATGAGCAGAATCGTTCGTTATTTTGGTCCGAAAGGAAAGACAACAAGCATAAATGAAGATGGAGGCAGGGGACCGATGTGTAAAACCTTCGGTCGATTGAAGTTAAGCACACACACAGCTGTTATCGAACGCTACTCTACAACTAAAACGTGCATTACTCCACTCGTTTGGACTGACATAAATTGCCTTCTAGGCAGGACGTGGGAATAGGTACAGTGCGTGATCGGTCTCACGAAGTTTTGGCCAAAATTCTGAAATGCGTTTCCGTTTAGGAAGGATTACTTAGGTTGGGTTGCCATATTGCCTATCATGCGACATAATGTTATAATATTTTGGACTCGCCAGGAGGTCGGCTTTTGAATGCATTTCTTTTCGACCTCCTGCGGAAACCACACACGGTCAATAATGATTACTTAAGTAGCATACATTTTTCACACTGGTATTAGATGTCTCATAAATCCGTATATATTTTATAGAAAACGGGCACAAACTGTGCTTTTTTTCCCCTTTGGTAGCAAGCCACGTCGTCTTCAAATTGCATTTTCTGGGAAACAATCTATTTTGGTTTTGAAAAATGTCTCCAATTTCTGAATACTTTTAGCCAGATCGGTCGTTGTACATTTAAACAGGACGACCTGCCTATTTCTACCTACGCGGTAATTCGGTCGGACAAATATGATCGCAAAAACACGACATCGAAGGAGTGGACTCGGCTGACACAGAAAATGTTCAGCAAAGTTTGAAAAGACGGGGGAGTGACAACATGGACATATTATGCGAACCGCCGTTGGTGAAGTCTGCTTGAGCTTTCGCCAGGAAGTAGAACGTCATCTGATGTTTATCTATTTTGATATGTACGTACAGTGACTGACCGAGCTCATGAAATGTTGGCCGAAGTTCTGAAATGCGTTTTAGATTAGGAAGGATTACTTAGGGGGAGTTGCAATATTGATTATCATGCGACATAATCCTATAACAAGTCAAACTCGGCAGGATGTCTACTTTTGTATGCACCTCTTTTCGACCTCCTGTAGAAACCGTACTCGATAAGGAGTGACTCCTTATATAGCGTTCATTTTTCCCATTGATTTTCGATTGGTTTCCAAATCTTAATATATTTTATAAAAACCCCGAACAAAATTATGCTTTCTTTCGCTCATTTGCCAGGAAGTTGCATTATCTTCATGTTTTATGTCCGCAGAAAGTGTATATTTAGGTTTTAAAAAAGCTTCCCGATTCCCGAATAATTTTCTGGTCGATCTGCCATCACCTCAACGTTCAGCGACTTCACTCTACAAGAAACATGCTTTCTGCCTAAGCAAACTCATATCTTCCCCTAATTCTTTAAGAAGATACGTTCATACGATTTTGTAATAGATGCAGACTGTATTGTGCACTTCATGAGGACCATGGGTAAACGGACGAATGCGATGCTTTATGGATAGACATCACACACCATCAACACCATCAACAATCAGCGTGTAAAATGCATTTTGCATAGGCCGTCATTTTCTACCATGTGCAGTTATCTCATGGGGGCGAAAATAATTACTTTCAAAAACCGAAATCTTATCGAGTACGAAATATTATAGAATTATGTTGCATGATAATCATTATTGCAACTCCCCCTAAGTAATCCTTCCTAATCTAAAACGCATTTCAGGACTTCGGCCAACATTTCATGAGCTCGGTCAGTCACTGTACGTACATATCGAAATAGATAAAAATCAGATGACGTTCTACTACCTGGCGAAAGCTCAAGCAGACTTCACCAACGGCGTTTCGCAGAATATGTCCATGTTGTCACTCCCCCGTCTTTTCAAACTTTGCTGAACATTTTCCGTGTCAGATGAATCCACTTCTTCGATGTCGTATTTTTGCGATCTTATTTGTCCGACCGAATTAACGCATAAGTAAAAATTGGCGGGTCGTCGTGTTTGCATGTGCACATTTCTGACGAGAAGTTACAATTAACTGTCCCC